TCTGCCTTGTGGAAGGGCAGACCAAAAAAACCTTTGTCTGCAGGCTGGGTGCGTGGTCGGATCATTATATCAAGGATAGGTGGAGGATTGGACCCAGGGCGCAGGCAGGTTCAAAAAGGAACAAAAAGATTTATTAAATAACCGAAAATGCTGTTGAGGCAGCTCAAAAATCACTTACAGGTTCTCAAAGACACAAGCACGAGGGAGACAAAGCTCAAGAACAAAACACAACAATGATCCGACACAAGACTGAGACGGACAGGGCTTAAATACACTGACAACTAATTACTAAACAGAAAACACCCGAGGAGAAACACAAGGGTGACAATCAGACTAATTAGAAGCAGCTGGGCAGAGACACACTGGGGAACATAGAAAACACTAGGAAAACCAAGGAGAATGAATACAGACTATGACAGTTAGGTTAGGTTAGGGTTAGATTAGGTTAGGTTAGGTTAGGGTTAGATTAGGGTTAGGTTAGGTTAGGTTAGGTTAGGTAAGGTTAGGTTAGGGTTGGTTTAGGTAAAGTTAGGTAAGGTTAGGTTTGGTTAGGGTTAGGTTAGGTTAGGTTAGGTTAGGTTAGGTTAGGTTGGGTTAGGTTAGGGTTGGGTTAGGTAAAGTTGGGTTAGGTTAGGTTAGGTAAGGTTAGGTTAGGGTTAGGTTAGGTTAAGGTTAGGCTAGGGTTAGGTTAGGTTAGGTTAAGGTTGGTTTAGGTAAAGTTAGGTAAGGTTAGGTTAGGTTAGGTTAGGGTTGGGTTAGGTAAAGTTAGGTTAGGTTAGGTAAGGTTAGGTTAGGTTAGGTAAGGTTAGGTTAGGTTAGGGTTGGTTTGGGTAAAGTTAGGTAAGGTTAGCTTAGGTTAGGTTAGGGTTAGGTTAAGTTAGGTTAGGTTAAGGTTAGATTAGGTTAGGTTAGGTTAGGGTTAGGTTAGGTAAGGTTAGGTTTAGGTTACGTTAGGGTTAGGTTACGTTACGTTAGGGTTAGGTTAGGTAAGGTTAGGTTAGGTTAGGTAAGGTTAGGTTAGGTTAGGGTTAGGCTACGTTACGTTAGGGTTAGGTTAGGTTAGGTTAAGGTTAAGGTTAGGTTAGGGTTAGGTTAGGTTAGGGTTAGGTTAGGTTAGGTTTAGGTTACGTTAGGGTTAGGTTACATTACGTTAGGGTTAGGTTAGGTAAGGTTCGGTTAGGCTAGGATAAGGCAGTGTGCCCTTTGGACCATTCAATTTGACGCCAATCTGCAAAATGTGTCCTCAAATGAAATGTGGTCTATTTAGCGCACATTAACATGGTCAAATTGAGACAATTTTGTCTTTTTAGCACAGATTGTCGATAACCTGCATACTTTTAGTTTGCTCTAAATACCCCAATTTTCCAATGGGTGGAAATGGTGGTCTGTGTTAGCATGATAGCACACAAAATGTGAGTAAAATGTGTGACTGACCGTAACCAAACAGCACTGGTGAATGAGCATTCACCCAACCCTGAAGGCTTCCTAAATAAACAGCATTGGTGAATTAGAATTGACCCAACCCTGAAAGCCCTCACTAAACAACGTTAGCAAATTAGCGTGACTTGATTTTTCATGAAGTGTGCCTTTCTGCCCACAAAGGCCCAATGCAGGTGTGTCAGAGTGCCTGTGACACAAGGACCTTTTTATCTCCAGGTAACTAGGACCCCCAACACTTACCCCTAATTTACACTACATGCGGTCCGTCTCCGCTCCGCTCCGSTCCGACCTCCGCAGCAAATACACACCCATTATAATCAATCAGAGTGTTTACACTGGCTGCGCACTGCTGCGGTGAGCGGTGGTGAGCGCACAGTGATCCGTCAATATTAGAACAGATCCTATTTTTGCCGGATGCCGGAGCAGCGCTGGAGTCAATTTTTATAGATTACGTCCCACCAAAAGGAAAAGAAACGAGCACAACATCCATATTTTTAAAATAAGACACTATTCAGCAGAATAATTTGTCAGAATAATGTTGAAATCTCAGCTATATTAATAAATATACAGATATATTTCTACTCAAATGCTG